CAGTGCTACACACACTTGATCAATGTCGTATGAAAAGACTTCGAATACACCATCGATATATAACTGAATCATTGGCTATTCGGGAGCTGAAACCGGACCTCTGCATTCAAAAGCACCAAATAGATTATCTCGCCCTATCGTGGCTAGAATAACGTTTTTATTACAATTTTTGCTTCATTTTATTATGTAAATTTACAATTATTGTTATTTTCATTATCCATATTTTATTATCACTCTATTACTCATTATTACAGTGCGTCGGTGGTATAGCGGTTAGGACGCTCGCCGACCATGCACATGGTCCGGGGTTCGATCCCGGCCGACGCACACCTTCACAATGAATGAGGGAAAAACGAAACGATAATGTTATATTTACTGACGTTTCGCTATTTCATGCTGCTGCTAGTAGCTTTATCAGAGTAGTATTATTAAACCAGAATTTACAAAATCCACTCAGCTTATGTATACAGTAACTTAATCATCGTTCATCAGTATGGGGTCATTTTTGCGTTGTTGTCAAATTAGCCAATTGGTGTAAAGATAACAAAACTAACCATGTGTAGATTGTTGGATTCGATAAGTGTGTAAAATTATACAAGCAGCGTGTGTAATTACATAATGGAATTGTTTGTCACATTCGTGTTGATTTTGTCACTTCATGGGGGAGGGGGTCAGCGTTGTAACCAGGTCAAATTCTGTTATAGTCCATCATTCCTATTCAGACAATTCGGATTTCATTTGATATGAAGTGCTTCTGATGAAATGATACATTCTTTGTGATTTTTGAAATTTTTTTCTGGCGAACGATGATTACATTGTTATATATAAGCTGAGTAGATTTTGTAAATGCTGGTTTAATACTACTACTTTGATAAAGCTGTTAGCAGCAGCATTAAATAGCGAAACGTCAGTAAAAACAACAATATCGTTTTGTTGTTTTTCATTCATTGGGAAATACAAACGGAACTTTATTATAATGAATATCACCATATACCCAATGCCCAAATTTTTCAAACTGTTAAAAGTGAACTTGATTTGCACATATATAACTATATTACTGGTTATTAATAACATTGCATTTTCATACAGATTTTATAAAGACACTCTGTAGTCTTCCCACTAGTACCTGTCCACTCTACATAGGAATAACGTTGGCGCCATTAGAAAACTCTAGAATATCTGGAGTTTGCAGATGATTCATGTCTGTCTGTCTGTCTGGATTCAACATAGAACTTGGCACCGAAGTGCACCAGTTCCACTTGCCACGTTCCAAATAGCACACTAAGGTAGACAAGAAGATGAGTGAAGAGAATCAATACAGTCTGACAAGTAGAAGAGTGAAACAGAATGGGTAATGGTAGAAAGGAATATGAAAGATTACAGAGACTGAATACATCTGAGCTGGCCATTGACAACGATCACTTTGAGCCATGTCACCTAATGTCTCCAGCCACTGATTCCTAGAGTCCCGAGGGCCCCAACCCGGGAGTCTGCATCTCCCTCCTTACCTGACTCAGTTTAACTGTCAAGGATTTCATGGATTGATCAGGCCATATTTTTGTTTGGCCACCACTAACTCTTTTCCAACCTAAACCTATATCAGCTAGCTAGTAATGCCCGTCGGCGGGGGAGGCGATGGTTAGGCATGCGCACCACCTGACCTAGCCATCTTAGTCTATGTAACTTTATAGCCTCGTCGATTGATTTTCCCTCTTTGCCCAACACTCTACGCCTAACGTCAGCATTACTTACCTTGTGAAACCACCTAACGTGAGACAGAGATCGCAGACATCTATGATCGAAAGCAGTCAACCTTTTCATGTCTTCAACGCGTATTGGCCATGTTTCAGAGCCATAGAGAAGGACGGAGCGAACTGGTGAACAGTACACACGTCCCTTGGGTGGTTGATGGCCGGATGTCACGCCTACGCCAGAGATGGTGTAAGTCAGCGAAAGTATCTCGAGCTTTTCGGATCCGTTCTGAGATTTCATCGCCAATCAGTCCGTTGGTGCTGGCTGATACAACTTCCCAAATAGGTGAAGTGGTCAACATGTTCTATCATGTCTAATGTTACACAAACTCGAAGACTTGCAGGCAAAAACCAAAAAAATTGACAGAAGAAGCAAGCAGCAAAGGCAGGACTTCAAGTGAACATGGAGAAGACTGAGGTGATGAAGATTACCAACCAACCAAAGAATCAACAGCAACAACAACAACAACAACACCAATCATCGTCAACGGAAGAAATTTGAGAGAGATTACTTCCTTCACCCATCTAGGAAGCATCGTCTCAACTACAGGCTCTCGGTACGAATAAGGATGTTAAAACCAGAAATGGAAAGGCGAAATACACCTTCATCAACCTGAAATCGGTGTGGAAAACTTCTGCACTGACTCAGCCAGCATTAATAACAAGATTCAGATTTTCAACTCCAATATGAAGTCAGTCAGTTTTTCTGCACGGGCAAGAAACTTGCACTGTGCGTCACAAAAAGCATTTCTAACAGGCCACTACAGACGTTCATCAACACCTGCCTTCACCGGGTTCATACTGAAGATCAAATGACCAACCAGGAAGAATTAGAAATAAGAAACTATGGGAACAAACTAACCAAGAACCCATCGTTCAATAAATATGTGGGAGAAGATGGAAGGCTGTTCAATGACATCCAGCACTAAGCTATTACTCGAGTGGGACGTCCGACGGTGACATGGAGGAGATCGTGTGACGAGGAGAAGGAGGAGGAGGGGAAGAAGAGAGATTATGGGCAATCTTAGACCTAGCTAAAGAAGACACAGCACAAAATAGAAAACAGTTGAGATGTGGTGCAGGAGATCTATAACCCACTCGGGACCCAATGGCCCTATTCGGGTAGGTAGTTACCTGGGTTCCAGTGGGAAGTCGTGACCAGTAGGGTGCAGCGGGTCGGGTGTGAGGACAAATACTCGCCAGCGTAGACATTGGCTAGCGGTCGCGCTATGTCGTGAATTGGCAGAAGTTAGAATTCAAGGACCACTGGAACGGGTCCCAGTGGCTCAATGGTATACCAGCTCGCCTAGTAACCGGAAGGTCCTGGGTTCGAATCCCGGTGGGTGCGTACTGCTGAAGAGTCCCAAACTAGAACGAAACAACTGTCCAGTACCACCAGTTGGTTTTCCAATGGTTCTCTAACTAAACAATTTGCATACAAACATGGTAGAAGTACCTTGGATGCTGCGGTTGTCTTGTATCACAATGTTGTCTCTTGTTTAGACAAAGGTGCTAAATATGTTCGTAGTGCTTTCTTAGACTACACATCTGCTTTTGACTCTGTACCTAGGGGCCTTTTGTTAAATAAGCTATCGTTGACACAAACAGGATCCTGGGCTAAGAGTTGGTTGCATTCTTATTTTTCTGATAGAATGCAGTATACTGTATATAATGGCAAATCTTCTGCCTCGCTTACAAAATCCGGTGTTTCTCAAGGTGCCGTCCTCTCTCCTTTTCTTTTTTCTTTCTTCCTACATGACCTGCCTTATTTAAAAGAAACTAACTTTGTCAAATATGCAGATGATCTGACTGTATCACTGCCTATCACTTCCGAGTCTTACAGCTCCAAACTTAATAGCTTTCTGTTGGACATCAACAAGTGGTCCAAGTCAAATGGTCTTATGTTAAATCCTTCCAAATGTCAGGCAGTTGACTTTACTTTCAAGCATCGACGTGACTTACATGAACTAGTTAGCTCGCATGATCCCTGTAGCATAGATGGCACGGAAATTGAAACCAAGTCAAGCAGCATTAAATACCTTGGATTAGTTCTTTCCTCTGACCTTTCATGGTCATCCCACATCTTATCTATCTCTAAGAAAATGTTTCGTCTTACCTTCTACATTAAAAAGTTAAGACAATCAGGTATCAACCAACCTTTAGTTTTGCAATTTTTAAACTCCTGTATTTTACCTATTGTACTCTATTGCTCTCGATTAATCTTTCCTGGGCTTCTCAAAAAAGATTATATCATATTACGAAGAGTATTAAATGCTGTGAGTAGGGCTTGTGGTCTGCCACTGAATGAGCTCGCCAATACTATAGTCGAGAGGCATATAAATTCCTGTACAAAATGGGCAAAGGCTATACTGTCAGACCCTCTGCACCCCTTTATTCACACCTATCCCCTTGTATCTCATCAGGTCGGACGAGAAGTCAATATAAAAAGTTATATGCTCGCACCACTAAGTACAGAAATTCTACAATACCCTATTTAGCCCGTACTTTATGTGACGAAGACTCTGTTAGACGTGAAACACATAAGTTAATATGTAATTAGCACAGTAAATCGACCCTTTCATCGTTCATCTTTCTGTATTTTATGGTGTCACACTTTCTATCGTTTAATTATTACTCTGCTATTTTATTTTAGTTGGTATTACTATTATTACTACAATTTTGTACTTTATGCATATTTTTCACCGTATGGCATACAGTATTTTGCTATGTAGCTGCTATAACAATCGTTTTATTACTATTATGTAATGTGTATTTTTAATTTTCTTTTGGTCGTTTTTGAGTAAATTAGATGCAATATTGTACTGAATGCTGAAAATTCCTTGCTGTATCATTAGTACTGTTTTTGGAATAAAGCAAAAATTATTATTATTATTATAATGTCAGCTCATGATGAAATCCGGAAACCAATCAAATCCCTACAAACCAACACTTGAATAATAATAATAATAATAATTTGATCGCATAACGTTAATATACTTCAACCTTCATGCTCTATAACTTCGTGTATTCATATTAAGATTGTCGACTGTGGTTGCATGCAGCTGACGAGGAATAAATGAAATATAATAACACGTCATGTTTTATCCTACTCAATACGTTCTTATTCCTTTGATGATCAAGCTGACATCAAAGGAAGTAATTGGAATACACACACAAAAATGGCCCTATAGACACACACACACACACATACACGTACACACATACAAACTCTGTCTATAACAAACTTACTTGTTGTCTTAAAGACGATCCAGACAAATCACACGGGACTGGTGTAGTTAGCTAGAAATTCAAGTTAGAAAAAAAAGAAGGTTAAATAAATGCCTAAGAGAAAATTCAAACGACTAATGGATCGTCAGTACGGAGGTGACATCGAAGAGATCGTGTGAGTTAGAGGAGGAGGAGGAGAAGGCGGAGGAGGTGAGAGATTATGATCAATCGTGGACCCAGCTGAAGGGGGCGGAAGAAAACAGAATAAGGCGGAGATGTGCTGCTGAAGTGGTATGTTCCACGCAGAACCCAAGGGAATGGTAATGATATATATACTTGAAGATAAGATATAGAACGACAGACGGTTTAGTGAAAATTATATACGTAGGATTCTCAATAAAGCAGGAATTCGGGTGGCATTTAAACCTACAAACTATGTAGGCTAAAGGACTCATTTGGACAAAATAATATAATTTACAAAATACCTTGCAGTGACTGTGAGGTCAACTACATGGGTCAAACTAGTATATCAGGCGTCGACTGCTAGGTAAGGAGGGGAAATCAATCGACGAGGTTGTGAAGTTACATAGACTGAGATGGTTAGGACATGTGTTACCTATCCATGCCTAGTCATCGCCTTCCTCGACAATGGGCAATGTTAGCGGATATAAGGTCAGGCTGGAAAAAAGCTAGCGGAGGTCAAACAAAAACATGGCTTCACCAGTCAATGAAATCCACAACAGTTAGTCTATGCCACGTAGGAAGGTGTAGACTTCCTGACTGGTTGGGGTCCTCGGGACGGTAAAAACCAATGGGTGGAAAGAATCGGTGATATGCCTCGAAACCGTTCTCAGTGGCGCAGATGCATCCACTCCTTGTGACTTATGATTTCCAATGAAACTATATTGTTCTTCGTTATCACTATACCTTTTGTCTTATATTCCTGTTTACTGTCTCTAATATGCATTTCTTCTACCTTCTTCTCTTGGTTTGTTTGCTACAAGAAGTGGAGTGTGACGACTTGAACTGGCGCACATATGTGCAAAGTTCTATGTCTAAAGCAGACAAACACACAGTATATCAGGAATAGTGAGATTATCAGAACATAAAAATCTAGCTAAGGTTAGAATGACTGATCCCACGAGGATAAGTAATTTAGAGAAAACTCAGCAATCACATTAGAACACAGCATGCATTATTTATTTATTTTTTTTTTGATTTACAGCTTGATTCCACACTGTATTTTTGGTACAAGTATGGAATTTTCAGCATGGATATCGGTAGCCCAAACTTTGCAGGTCGACCATAGATATCAGGTGTGCGCCGGCGTGGGCTCGAACCCCGGACCATGTGCATGGTCGGCGAGAGTCCTAACCACTGTGCCACCGACGCACATTAGAACACAACCACACAATAGGGCGGGTGGGAGAGGTTTAAAATTGTAAAAAGTAATATAGGTAGATGGAGAGTGAGAATGATTGATTCCTGAATCCTGCCTGGTTCATCGAATCTACACCCAGCACAACACATGCAACAGAAGTGACTCAACGCAAATACTAGAGATATGGAAGATATTATTAATTCCGAATGTACATTATCCCATATTGATTTTTATTCAAATATCTAGTCAATTCCACTCATGTATATAAATGAAGTAAAACGTTGTGTGAGTAGTCCCATGATATGATTATGAGCAATAGTTTGTGCTCGAAATGTGGTTATCAGTTAATATTACTGTATAACAATGTGATTTATCAAAATAAAATCTTATCTATAATGGAGTTATACGTCAAAAGATTCGATTACTTGTGTTATATTATTATTGTCATCATTAATTTCCTGCAGAGAACTTCCTTCAACTTCCCATCTTCATTATATTCGGGGCTCCTTATGATTACTTTCAACTGCCTCCACGACTCCTTCCCCTCTTCCCCCCCCCTTCCAATAAGCTATCATTTCTTCCTACCCATATGATCCTGCTCGCCATGTCACTTTTGGGATGTACACCCTTTACTCAACACAATCATCTTCGGGTCCCCATTGATGGCCTGAACATCTGATGTTACTTGAATACCAACCTCAGTGTGCATGTGTCCAGTCGATTTCCATTTCACTCTCTATATATGCTAGGTGACAGATAGGTCATAAGCTCGTTCGCTGCCGGAGAGTTCCTTTTTGCTTATCTCTCCTCCGGCCTGTTGAACATCTGATCTTTAGCATTGATTTATAAGGCAGGTGTTAATAAAAGTCTACAGAAGCCTGTTTAAAATGATTTCAGTGATACATGCTCAACAAGTCTCTGGCGTGTCGGTGGCATAGCGGTTAGTCATGCTGGGTGCGTCAGAGAAGAATTTTTCCGCACCGATTTCTAGTTGATGAAGGCGTATTTTGCCTTTCCAATTCTGGTTTCGACATGTTCATTCGTGCCCAGAGCCTGTAGTTGGTGGTGGTTGGTGCTGGTTTTTGTCGTTGCTACTGTGGTTTCATTACTTTCATCACCTCCGTCTTCTTTATGTTCATCTGAAGTCCCCAGCTTATATATATATAAACTTGGAGGATCTGGACTTCGCCGATGATATATGTCTGATCTCCCACAAACTAGAAGATTTGCAAGTGAAAAGCAACAAGCTGGCCGAAGAAGAAGCATCAAAGATAGGACTTCATGTGAACATAGAGAAAACAGAGCAATGTGATGAAGATTCCTGGCCAACACCAACAGCCATAGCAACAATAACAGACAACAATCAGCCAGTGTAATTGGGATAAATCTGAAAAAGTAACCTCATTTACCTACCTACCTTGGAAGCATCGTTTCAACTACAGGCAGATGGAAATGACGAGGGTATCAAAGCCAGAATCGGAAAAGCAAGACAAGCTTTCATTACTCTCAAGTCTGTGTGGAAGTCAACAGCACTCAGCATTAAAATAAGATCCGGATTTACAACTCCAATATGAAGTCAGTGCTACTATACGGATCAGAGACTTGCACAGCGCGTCATAAAGAGCATCTCAAAAAAACTACAGACCTCCATTAACAGTTGTCTTCGCTCATTACCACTCAAGATCAGATGGCCGGTCAGAAAAGATCAGCGATAGGGATCTCTGGCACTGAGCGAACCAACCAGGAACAGATTGTGAAACAAATAGGGAGGAAGAAATGGAGAAGGATTAACTGGCCATACTCCTAGGAAACCATCAATTGACATCACTAGACAGGCCATTGCTCGAGTGGAACCCGAAATGAAAGCGGCAAGTTGGTCGTCAGTGCAAGGGTGACTTGGAGGAGGTCATGTGAAGAGGAGATGAAAGCATGTTGGAAGACTTGGAGCGGGATGAAAAAGTTGGCAGAAGACAGAAGGCAATGGAGGTACGCAGCTGAAGCCCTATGTTCCTCTAGGAACTAAAGGATATTATATATATATATATATATATATATCATCCCAAAATTCAGATTTAATGCAATTTTTAAATGCAAGCTGATGCTTTCTGTTCCCATTCCATTTATAAAGCATTATTCCTCATATAATAAAGTCTAGCTTTTTTTGAATTCACTTACTTGGAAGAGACGTTTACGAGTCATACTTATTATGTATGACAGTAAATGATACTCTCCTCCAGTTGACCAGAATGATGTAGGTTCAACGGAACTCGATGACCATAATCAATTGGCTTGGTGGATAATACTGAGGGGTTAGACGTAGAGAGTATTAGGATAAAGAGGGTAAAAGTCAATCGACGAAGATTTGAAGCTATGTCTATTAAGACGACTAGGAAATGGGTTGCGCATAGCTGGCTTAGCCACAATCTATCTCCTTCAACAAGCAACGGTTAATCAACATAGGATTGGATTCCAAAAGAGTTAGGAGTGGCGGTCGAAAACCAAAAACCTATCATCAATCTATGAAGTCTTTGACTACAGGATTTCATCATGAGCTGACATTAGTTAGAGAACCATTGGAAAACCAACTGGGAGTACTGAACAGCTGTTTCATTCTAATTCGGGACTCTTCAGCAATACGCATCCACCGGGGTTCGAACCCAGGACCTTCTGGTGCATACTGATGAAGGGTCCCAAACTAGGACGAAACAGCTGTCCAGTACTCCCAGTTGATTTTCCAATGGTTCTCTAACTAATGTCAGCTCATGATGAAATCCTGTAACCAATCAACCAAATCTCTACAAACCACCACTTGAAGTCTTTGACTGTTGGTTTAAGCCAGTCACAGTCACATTGGCTAGAAGTTTAGACTATATGGTTGAAGTCCTCATGATGCTAAGCACCAGTGGCTTAGTACTCTTAGTGATGTATAGCTCAAAACTATACTCAATGGTGCAGATACATCCACTCTTTGTAATCTCTTAGATTCTTTAAATCCTCATATTTCCTCTCATTAGGGTCTTTTTGAGTCCTTTTTTTTCTGTCTTTTCTCTGCTTTGTGTGCTGCATTGAGTAGAGTAAATTGATGATTTTATTTTATTTAAAACACAAAATCTGGTACAATATGGCACCAAGAAGATGAGCCACTACACAATAATAATAAAATTGGTAGAAGAAAGCAGGTTTATTTAACAAGACTAAACAGCATTCGTCGAACTATTGTCGAAAGGGAAAGAAAGGAGGAAATTGCAGCATGTTCACCATTGATGGCTGCAACTCTTAGGGCTATATCCGATAATGTTTCGAGCCACTGATTCGACCTCTCTCTCTCCGACATCAACCATGGAGTCGTAATGCATCAACCAAGGCTAATCTAACACAAATATCCTCCATTCCACGACGCTATGTCATGGGCTTTTCATCCAGATCCAGGGCTAGCGAACAAAGACCGATACGAAAGCCTCTGGGATGGCGTTTGTAGCACATGTCTAAGCCACCGGAGCCAGTGTTTCCAGATGACGACATGCAATCAACGATGACCTCCACTGTGTCCAGATACACCCTGCAGGACCTCAGAATGACTCACACGATGATGACATCGAAGACAGTGGTGACGACATGAGCAGAGTCGTCACACATCCTCACAGTTCAGAGACGCCAGGTTTAGCAGGCGTAGAGCAAGACAGTACTCACTAAATCACAGTAAATCCAACCTTGACGGCGCCAGAAGTGGCTCAAGTCGACGTACGTCACCCTAGCTTTCATGATACGGTTGGAATTCTCGTCCGCAATATCTCCACCAATATTCCCACATTAATATTCGGATACACGAACTCATCGACAACACTTCAAGTGATTCACCTGCAGAAGTGGTGAGTGCAAATACAGACTCCTACCAATTTTATAGCAGTACTTTGCACTTTTTTTTCCTTCATGTTCCCCAGTGGAACATAGGGCACCTTCAAGCTAGTGGCTTGAAGTTTCTGTAACAGTGTTTATTTTACAGGATGGGTTTGCTAGCCTCAAGCCCAACCTTTCCTCTTTACCCAGAATTATTTCTGCCTCAGCGAGGTAAAGGAGTCCGTCAGTGGTCGGCGATCGAACCCCGGACCATGTGCATGGTCGGTGAGCATCCTAACCGCTATACCACCGACGCTCTTTGCACTTAGACGGTGCAAAAAGCACATACCATAATCAAATTGAAGATATTTTAAGATGCTATCCATTCATGACATTCATACAAATAAAATTTTTTCTTAAAACAACACATAGAATTAAGTTTCAGATGAATCAAAATAAACACAAACATACTTACAGCAGATAAACGATCACCTTTAATACTTCCATAACGCTTTATCATATATCTCAGTCGGCGTTCATTCCAATCTTCAATGGTAGTTTCACGAGAATTAAATCCAAAAAATGTCAATGAACCATCTATCACTGAATTTATGCGTCTAAAATTAGACAAGGTTAATATATGCATGTATAATAAATAGTCATACAAAATGCATTTCAGTAAAATTACCCAATCATATTACGACGTATGACGTAACATTATTTATTTATTTAAACGCATAAAAAACTTGGTACAATATGGCACCAAGAACGATGCGCCACACAACAATAATAAAAAAACACAGATTAAAAGAAAAACAAAGAAAGAAGAGAAATATATATATAAGTAGAGAACGGATAAAGAACTTCATCTGGAAGGAAAACAGTCATGCTTAATAATTTCAAACAGTATTCGTTAACTATCATCTCGGGAAGGGAACAAAGAAGGAAATCGCAACACGTGTAATAGCATGCGATAAGTTTCCTTGATTGTTTGTTGCTTCATTCAATTCATTGTGTGAGGGCTGAGATACTGCCCGGGCGCCCAGACCGAAGCAGGTGGTTTTATTAAGGGACCACCCCCCAAGCCTTTGACTTGGAGTCTAATCCACAAGGCAGCGGAGCAGCGTCAGGAACTGGATTCCCATGGTTTCCGGTGACCCATATGGGTTCATACGCTATTTGATCCGATTGGATACTGGAGCCCATGGTGGTAACTGCTTTTAGTTTAACCGCCATCCAAACAACCTTCCTAACATGGTAGGATCTGCAGGGACAGAGTCCCAGTCAGTTTAGCATGTTGGGTCATTACGGTATTCAAGCCCGACCACTACGACAAGGTAGCAGTTATCGGCCGAGTATGACGTAACAGCAAAAAAAATCAATATGTGATAAGAAAAAAGAAGAGGGAGAATAAGAGAAAATTCAAATCAAAATACCTTGAAACACCACTTCTTGATCCTCCATTTTTACTAGAACTACCAGGATTTGTACATGACATAGTTGGTGTTATAAACTCAGATCTACAGGAAAATAATTTTAAAAAATATTTGAACGAAAATGTCAGTTGGAGCAGAGTTTAACTCAGAATAATAACACAATAGCTTAAATCTACAAACATTATGAGCTGACATCAGTTAAAGAACCGATGGAAAACCAGCGAGTATTGGACAGCTGTTTCGTCCTAGTTTGGCCCTATTCAGGCAGTTAACCTGGGGTTCTGATGGGAAGTCATGACCAGTAGGGTACTGCAGGTTGAAGATGAGGCAGTAACTCATCGAAGAAGACATTGCGAAGTGATCGCGCTATATCGTGAATTGGCAGAAGTTAGAATTCAGGACCATTGGATCCGGTCCCAGTGGCTCAATGGTCTACGATCTTGCTGGCCTTGTCACCAGAAGGTCCCGGGTTGGTACCCTGGAGGTGGGTGGGCACTGATGAAGAATGCCAAACTAGGACGAAACAGCTGTCCAGTTCTCCAAGGTGGTTTTCCAGTGGTTCTCTAACTGATGTCAGTTCATGATGAAATTCTCCATGCAATCAAACAAAAATCCCTACAAAAACCAATGCCTGAAAAATTTGGAATTTTCAGCATGTAGTACAGTGCAGTATCGCACCTAACTTTCTCATTTCATGGGTGGTAATTAGAACAGGACATTTACATTAATAATAACGTTCAATAACAGTATGAAAATAAGATTGAATTAAGTTAAAATATTGCCAACAACATAATAATAAGGGCCCTTCATTTGGTGTTTCTCATTAAGTTAGTAGTGCCATGCCGCCATTGGTTCTTACCGTCAGAAAGTCTACACCTTCCTACTTGCCAGGCTCAAACTAACTGTTGTTGATTTCATTGACTGGTGAAGCCATGTTTTGGTTTGAACACCACTGGCTTTCTCTTTTCCAACCTGACTCTATATCAGATAACATTGCCCGTCGAGGAAGGTGATGACTAGGCAGTCGTGCGTACCATATGTTCTAGCCATCTCAGTTTATGTAATTTCACAACCTCGTCGATTAATTTCCCCTCCTTACCTAGCACTCGATGCCTAACCTCAATATTGCTCACATTAATATACCACCTCACACGGGAGATAGAACTCAGGCATCTATTATCAAAGACAGCCAGTCTTTGCATGTCTTCCACTCTCAATGGCCATGTCTGTCTGTCTGGATTCAACACAGAACTTCGCACCGAAGTGCACCAGTTCCACTTGCCACGTTCCAAATAGCACACAGAGGTAGACAAGAAGATGAGTGAAGAGAATCAATACAGTCTGACAAGTAGAAGAGTGAAACAGAATGGGTAATGGTAGAAAGGAATATGAAAGATTACAGAGACTGAATACATCTGAGCTGGCCATTGACAACGATCACTTTGAGCCATGTCACCTATTGTCTCCAGCCATTGATTTCTAGAGTCAGTCCCGAGGGCCCCAAACCGGAAGTCTGCATCTCCCTCCCTACCTGACTCAGTTTAACTGTCAAGGATTTCATGGATTGATGAGGCCATGTTTTTGTTTGGCCACCACTGGCTCTTTTCCAACCTGAACCTATATCAGCTAGCTAGTAATGCCCGTCGGCGGGGGAGGCGATGGTTAGGCATGCGCACCACGTCACCTAGCCATCTTAGTCTATGTAACTTTATAGCCTCGTCGATTGATTTTCCCTCTTTGCCCAACACTCTACGCCTAACGTCAACATTACTTACCTTGTGAAACCACCTAACGTGAGACAGAGATCGCAGACATCTATGATCGAAAGCAGTCAACCTTTTCATGTCTTCAACGCGTATTGGCCATGTTTCAGAGCCATAGACAAGGACGGAGCGAACTGATGAGCAGTACACACGTCCCTTGGTTGATAACCGGATGTCACGCCTACACCAGAGATGGTGTAAGTCAGCGAAAGCAGCTCGAGCTTTTCGGATCCGTTCTGAGATTTCATCGCCAATCAGTCCGTTGGTACTAATACAACTTCCCAAATAGGTGAAGTGGTCAACATGTTCTATCACTTCCCTCCCTATCACTAAGTTAGGAGTCAATGTAGTCCAGTCCTGTAGCATTTGGTGGGAGCGAATCGCATGCTAATCATTCGCAGATTGCAACTCAAGATGTTCACAGGACTCTGTATCTTGTCAGCGTCTTGACCTCGGAGGGAGGACTGTATCATTTGCATATTCTAAGTCAACGAGAGTAGTATTCCCTGGTAACAAGTCGACCTCTGAGTCGCTGAAGTGAATTACGGTTAAGTCCATTAGTACATCTATGATGAAATCGAATAGAAATGGGGATAGTGGGCATTCCTGACGGACACCACTAGTTGTCATCACTTCAGATGACAACTCTCCATAAGCTCTCAACTGGCTGACTCTGCATGATTTCGAGCAGGGTGGCCTTGATCAGTGTAATGTATATTCTCGGCATTGCTTTTACATAGTTCCTCTCGGTCGATAGAATCGAAAGACGCCTTTAGGTTAAGAAATATGACGATTTTTGGACGCCGACGGTAAGTATACCTGTGTTCCAGAATCTGTCGAAGGGTGAAGATATGATCAATAAACCCTCTTCTTGGTCTAGAGCCTGTCTGGTTCTCTCATGTTTGTTCCTCTCGTGGACCGCTTAGTCTACGCATGATTATTGAGTCTAGAACTTAAGATACCATATTAGTCAAGCTAATCCCCTTATGATTATCACAAGAATACTTGTAAGAAAGAATAGTTATAATACAAGAATGAACAACCTTAGAAAGTAGTGACTGAGGCTGATACCAAATTGTCTTAACTTCTTCACGTAGAATGTCAGATGAAATATCACCGTAGAGATTGACATAGTGTGTAAAGGCCAGGAAAGATCAGAGAGAATACACAGTACAAGGCATATTTAACATTTAATTTAGTTTCAGTTCCTGTGTCATCTATGATAACTGAACCGTGTAGTGAACTAACCAGTTCATGTAATTCATGCATGCTTCCATCTAAAAGTGATATTAACAACCACCTGACATTTTGAGGGCGGATTTAACTCAGGGAGCTCAGTGAGCTCAAGAACCACCAACTGAATAATTCCCGATAAAAAAAGTTATACATTTTGCAAACTGTGGATGAAGTCATCATTACTCCTATACACACAAGTCCTTCTTCCCTAACTGAGGTTTCTAAAGCTGTCACCAATCTGAAACAAGGCAAAGCAGCAGGACCTGATGGAATGACTCCAGAGGTATTTAAGTACAGTGGAGACAGTTTACTGTCTGCACTAATCGAGGTACTAGGCAGCGTCTGGGAATCAGAAGAAGTCCCATCGGGTTGGTGTAAGTCACTGATTATCCCCATATACAAGAAGGGAGACAAGTCTTCCTGTGATAACCACAGAGGGATTAGCTTAACTAATATAATATCTAAAGTCCTAGGCTCAATAATCATGCGTAGACTAAGTAGTGCTAGGGAGGCACAAACACGAGAGAGCCAGGCAGGCTTTAGACCAGGAAGAGGGTGTATTGATCATATCTTCACCCTCCGATAGATTCTAAAATATAGACATTCCTACCGGCGCCCAACAATTACTGTATTCCTTGACCTAAAGGCGGCATTCGATTCTGTCGATCGGGAGGTTCTCTGGAGATGCTTGGCTGTAAAGGGAATCCCGAGAAAATATATTGCACTGATTAAGGCACTCTACTCGTACTCATACAACCAGGTGAGGGCTTACGGCGAGTTATCATCTGAACTGGTGACAACTAGTGGTGTCCGTCAAGGACGCCCATTATCCCCTTTTCTATTCAACTTCATCATAAATGTACTAATGGACTTAACCCTAAGTGACTTCAGAGACTCAGGGATTGACTTGCTACCAGGAAATAATCTCGTTGACTTGGAATATGCAGACGACATAGTCCTTCTAGGCGAGGACGCTGACAAAATCCAACAGAGTCTTCTAAACACCTTGAGCTGCAATCTACGAATGTTTGGCATGCGATTCACCCGCCCCGCCAAATGCAAGATGATGTTACAGGACTGGAGTACACTGACTCCTAGATTAGAAATAGAGGGCGAAGTGGTAGAGCACGCTGACCGCTTCACTTATTTGGGAAGTACCATTAGCCAGTACCAGCGAGTTGATCTCTGGCGAAATCTCAGCACGGATACAGGGGGCTCGTTTCGCATATGCCAGTTTACGCTGTTTCTGGCCAAGTAGACGAGATATCCGACTAACGACCAAAGGGCGGGTGTACTGCTCATCAGTCAGCTCCGTCCTGCTTCATAGCTGGCTGTGAGATATAGGCATTGAGAGTTAAAGACATGCAAAGACTGGCTGTCTTTGATAATAGATGCCCGAGTTCTATCTCCCGTGTGAGGTGGTATGTTAATGTGAGCAATAATGAGGTTAGGCATCGAGTGCTAGGTAAGGAGGGGAAATCAATCGACGAGGCTGTGAACTTACAAAAACTGAGATGGTTAGGACATGTGTTACCTATCCATGCCTAGTCATCGCCTTCCTCGACAATGGGCAATGTTAGCAGATATAGGGTCAGGCTGGAAAAAAGCTAGCGGAGGTCAAACAAAAACATGGCTTCACCAGTCAGTGAAATCTACAACAGTTAGTCTAAGCCACGTAGGAAGGTGTAGACTTCCTGACTGGCTGGTTGGGGTCCTCGGGACGGTAAAAACCAATGGTTGGAAACAATTGGTGACATGGCTCAAAATCGTTCTCAGTGGCGCAGATGCATCCGCTCCTTTTGACTTGTGATTTCCATTGAAACTATATTGTTCTTCGTTATTACTATTTCTTTTTCTCACACCTCTGTTTACTGTCTCTGTTATGCATTTCTTCTGTTGCTTTGTGTGCTACATGGAGTGGAGTGTGGCGACTTGAACTGGTGCACATATGTGCAAAGATCTATGTCGAAAACAGACAGACAGACACAGAGACAGACGGACCCTCCTCACTCCTAAAACTTATTTTCTGATATTGTAAATTCTACTCAACCACCCCTCGCCTT